TTGGGACTTCAGTCTTATGCAACCATACATTCTTGCACATGGTGCAACACTGACTCAAAAAATCTCTCAAACTGTGGATCTCCTTATACAAATTGGTTTCCTCTTAAAACTTTTTGAAACCTTCTAAACTTTTGGAAAAAATTAAACAGGTCAAAAGGTTTGGAAATGTGGTCCATAACCCTATTTTTTCTGGACCATCTAATCTACTGATTTTGGAACTCATCCCACCAATCGAGCTTCACATGCTTCTTGGCATTGTTAATTATTTGTTCAGAAAAATAAAAGATGTCTGGTCAAAAGCACCAGACATCTTTTATTTTTTTGATTTTCATTGACACATTTGGAAAGTTTTTTTTCAATAGCCACATTTGCAGATTGCCAAACTACAGCATCACTCAATGTTATTTTTCATAACACCAAAAATTTCATTGAACAAAAAAAAGCTCCACTTGGAGCTTTTTTTGTTAATTTTTGTTCAGCATGGGATTGGTCACCTAGAATATATCTAAAGGCTTCAGAACTGCCTTGTTGAATTCAAAACCAAACATATGTAGACAATTTAGAAGATTAATTTTATAACCATTATAATTCATTAAAATCTAATAAAAAAAAAGTTATTTCCTAATTTATTTATGACTTTATTAAAAAATATTTTTTTTATATAGTGACATGAAGTTTTTGGAATACCTTCATTCCCCTTGTAAGTAAAACTAAGAATAAACAAAAACTTGATTTTTTTTCTTGTATTTAATAATTAAATTTAATCATTTATCATTTTGGGTAACTAGAATGTTTGTATTTTCATCCTACATAAGTTGCTTTCTTGGGTCATAACCTTGGTCAAACTGCCCAAAATAAGTAACAGTACCTATTAAGACTGCGAAAAGTATAAAGACTGTCTAATAGGCACTGTTACTTATTTTGGACAGTTTGACCAAGGTTATTTCATACAAAAGATTTTATAAAACTTATGCATAAAATGTATGTTATGTACTTGCTATTTTAAAAAAATGTTTAAATATTTGAAGTTCAAAAGCTGGAAGTTATTTTGTTTATAATTTCTTAAAAAAGATTAACAGAAAACTCAAAAGAAATTAAAGAATTAATTGCAAGAAAAATCGGACTTATAAATTTTAATACTGTGATTAGTAAACTAAAGGTAAATATGTATTTCATTTCTCTCCCAATGAATCTAGTTTTAAAGAAAACCCTGCAATGATGATAGTTATAACCTAAAGCAGATTGGTGTAAATATATTTGTAGAATATTGGTACAACAGCTACAAACATCAGAAGGTTTAATGGGACTATAAAAAAAAAAAAAAGATTTACTCAATAAAAAATATAATTTGGATTTTCTTTACTTTATACTCTCTGGTTCTCAGGTTCAGGATGGTTTATGATCCAAAATCTCAGGTTCAGGAATGTTTATGACCTAAATGGAGATTAAACTGACAACAAGAGTATATGCTATCATTTGTGAACATGATTTGAGAGATGGCTTTATCCAAGGTTTCTGCATGAATAAAACCATCTATAAAATTTATAATTTTATAGATGGTTTTATTCATCATTAAACCATCTATAAATTTTTGGTAGAAACATTATATAAAATGAAGTAAAACTTCAATAATTAGATTAAATAACATATTACACATATACAGTACTCTCAGGTACTTAATACACAAGAGAACATTAATTATTTTTAGAAAATCTTATTCAACCAGAGTTCTTAACAAGCTTGGGGAGGGGGCCCAGCTTGTTAAGAACTCTGGTTGAATAATATTTACTTGTTATCAGCAATTAAACTTTATCTCAAAACTAAAAAAAATATATAATACTGAAAAAATCATCATTTTATATAATGCTCAATTTAATGCTCATTTGTGAGTGTTTGCACAGAACTCATGATAGTCATTACAACCAAGTTAAATCATAGCACTTTTTTATAAGAAAATGTAAAGGAAAGTGTATTCAAATATCTAACTTATGTAAACTTTAATTTATGTAATTATATAACTTATGTAAACTTTAATTTATGTAATGTTAAAAATTATATCAAGCTTTACAGTTTTACTTTTACATGAAACTTGCATTGTGGCAATACCTCCTTAATTTTAATTTGTAGTGTTTATTTTTTGCTATACCATCTTTTGTTTATTAAAAAATGTTATAATAACATAGTATAATACACCAAAACACATATTAAAGAGATAACTTTTTTTTCCTATAGAAAAATTTTTTTTACATTCAAACTTTTATAATATAAAGAATAACCATAGAAATTTATTATTGTATCACATAGGCCATGGTAAGTCCATTATTGCACATATTTTTAAATCTATTTTCAAATGTTTTGTCTATATGTATATAAATATTTTTTCTATCGCCTAAAAATATTGAAGTGAGGTATAAGTATAGAAATAATTGGTATGAGACTTACCAGTCTTATTTTACGGGTCGGACAGCTATTTTTACAATTATTATTATAGTTTTTATTATTATTAAAAATTATTATTATTATTTTACGGGTCGGACAGCTATTTTTACAATTATTATTATAGTTTTTATTATTATTAAAAATTATGAATTTATTTGATAAATCTTCAGATAAAACTAGAAAAATAAAGCATTTCTAATTTAAAACATTTAAATTTCATAAATAAATGATTCTTTAAAGGTACCCCTAAACAAAAATCAGATTTTAATGTTTCATACAATGCACAAATAGCTTTAGTATTATTTATTGGTTGATTTCTAAATTATAGTGCATATTTTTCAGACTTTAGGTAATAATATATTTTTCTTATAATTTTATTTATAATTCTTAAATTAACTGGTGTTTAAAAAAAGAACAAATTAAATATGTAAGTTTTGACTGCTATTATTTTTCTAGAAGTAAATTTATTTTTTTGTTTTTTTCAATAATTTTTGCAAATGATAAATGATAAATTGACCATTTCATTAAAACAGAGTTTATGGTTTTTAATAAACTAAGAATTTGAAGACCAGAAATATTTCCAGATTTCACACCATGAAATAGAAAATGATCAGGGCTCCAGCTAAAAATGAAACTTTTTGCAAACCTGGCCCAGGGTATAAATACTGGCATATATTTATATATTTTTAAACTCTCATTTACTTCAAACAAAGTTGAAAGCAACCACTATTAAGTTATGAGTTATTAGAAAATAGAAGATAGGGTTAAAGAGCTAGGAAACGGTTAACTGAAGACTTAAAAAGTTGTAAGTTGTATAAGTGATGAAAATATGATGATGGCTAAGAGTTATGAGATTATGTTGATATGTAAGGAAAAAAACTGGATTAATAAAAAAAATTATAGCATAAAGAAACAGATAAAGTAAAAGGATGCAATTTGCAGAATAAGAAGCCAAGCTAGAATGGATTTTGGTTTATCGATCTAGAGATGATAGCTTGTTTGACCATGATAGTATTTGTAGAAAAAAGAAAGAAATGCAACTTTATGACAATGGAAGGGTGGCTCAAGCTTGGCAGATAAAGCAGGTCTAATCACATTTACAATGTGCTTTTAGACTTTGTCTGAGAATGAGAGAATTGTTATTCGTCAATACAGGAATTATATAGCCAACAATATTACAATATTTGTTTGCAGTCAATATAGCCAACAATATTACAATATTTGTTTGCAGTAAATTAATGAGTTTTTTTGTTCTACAAAAATTGTAGATTTTAAGTCCAGACCTAAAATCCAAAAGCCACTGCAAGCTCTCACACTCACAGAAGGCTGTTACAGAAGAGAGATCAGATTAAAAATCAGCTGCTTGCTCTAAACAATCAAAAAGAGAAGAATTTTTGATTGCTTAGTCGAGACAAGAGGATAAAATTGACTCCTCAGCAAATAAAGCCACTTTAGATGTAAAATTTTCATGAAAATCGCTATTGTAAATAAGAAACAATACAGGAACAAAGATAGAACCTTGTGGCACCCTTAAGTAGAAGTAGGAAAACTTGAAGAGAGTGCCTTACATAATCACAAATGAGCTTTAGTTAAGGAAAAAAGATGCTCGAGATCGTTTATATTAGAGAAACAGCATAAAAAGAAAAGACAAAAGCTTGGTGATGATGATGATGATAATGATACATATGAAAGAGGAAGGCTAAAGCTTGATGACTATGATAATAATGATGATGGTGATGATAATTTTGATGATGATAATGATGATTATAATAATCATGTTGATCATGATGATGTCTATATATGCATATATATATATATATATATATATATATATATATATATATATATATATATATATATATATATATATATATATACACAAAATATAACATGAATTTTGAATAAAAAAAAAAAAAGGATGTTTAAATGTTTATATAGCCCCAGTCACAAACATAGACCCAACTCCAGTTGTTTATTACCTTGAAATAAATCATGTTTATGTTTTGTTTTTAAAGTTGAGAAGTTTGAGCCTGTTTTAAAAGACGTTTGTTACCATTTGGAAGAATAAATTTGTTTGAAGATTAGGGATATCATTGTACATTGGGGATATCACTGTGCATTTAAGAATATCATTCCCCCCTTCCCCCTCTGTCTGTTTATTAAAACTCAAGAAGCCCTTTATTTAAATAAACCTCTGCTTGTTACATCTCGAGGTCTACTCCCTTCTATCAATATAACCCCCTTAATTAAGTTAGAAAAAAAATTCACCCAATCATTTTTTAAGACCCCATCTCTGTTTATTAGATTAGGACAAAAATTCCTAACACTGTTTTATCCCTACCCCACCTTTTATTAAGCACCTCAGAGTAACTTAAAAGAGGCTCTCATTTGGTTTAGAACCAGATAGAGAGAGCAGACAAAAATTATTTTAAGGTTTAGAACCAGATAGAGAGTAGACAAAAAAGAATAGGGTATTAGTAGAGAATAACACATAACAAGAGTTGAAAATGAATCCCAGAAAAAAGAAAAAAAAAACATTATTAAAAAAACAAACTACATACCGACTTCACTCGCTCTAAAGCTGCTGCAGGTGAAGGATACTGTTGCAATGCAATTATTAAGTAACGATTTAGGATGGCATCAACTCCTAATTCTTGTAACTTTGTTTGTGATAAAAGCCAATTCCATTCCATTAAATTGCTGAGTAACTAAATTTTAAATTAAAAATAGTAATAAAAAAATTGGTTATTCTTTATATTATAAACTAAATTTTAAATTAAAAATATGAATAAAAAATCATTTATGAAACAAAAACTTAAATGCAACATATTTTTCATTTAATTTATTACTGATGTTTAAATATTATCTAATGGGTCACAATTGCCACCAAGTCCTTGGTAGTAAAGTACTCAACTTGTTTTTCCAGGCAACGGCCTTGTTTGTCAAGGGTTGTAACCACAAAATAAAGTAGTCTCTTTGACTGTAGTAACCTTTATGGTCTTGAAAAGGTGAATTAAAAAAAAAATCTTCAGTCCACAACATTTCATGATATTTCATGCAAGTTTAACTAAGCAAAGAAAATTCCAAAATTTCAGTCAATTTATGTACTGAAACCATCTGTGGAGGCTTCAGTAGATACATCAACAAAAAATTTGGTTTTTGCATGGTAAAATCTGGATATGAGGGGCATTTTAATATAGAAAACTTTTTTCTTGATTTTTTGATTATTTTGTTTTTTCTTTTAATTAAAAACTTTGGTTAAAAGTTGACATCTCAGAACTTAAACTATGCCATCTAACTACGGTCCCACCAGTCTTCTTCCTATCATTAGCAAGGTTTTTGAGCCTTTAATTAACAAACACTTAATCTCTCATTTTGAATCTTATAACTTACTTTCTGATCATCAATATGGATTTCAATCTTCTCGTTCTACAGCTAATTTGCTAACAGTAATAACTGATAGGTTTTATTGTGCATTAGATAAATATGAAGAGGTTAAGGCTATTGTTTTCAACATTTCTAAAGCTTTTGATAAAGTTTGGCAAGCTGGTCTTCTCCATAAGCTCTCTACTTATGATGTATCAGGTAACATCTTTAAGATTATTGAATCCTTTCTTAGCAATCATAGTACAAAGGTTGTCCTTAATGGACAGCACTTGTTTGCTGATGATAGGGTAGAGCAGGGCATATAGGGACACTTAAGAAACAAAGTTGCAGATAAACTAATCATAGTTAACACTGTTTTTTATAAATTTTCTAAAATTTATTGATATAAGAAAATGAAAAAACAAAAATAAAATTTTTAAAAAATAAGTTACGAAAACCAAATTAACGAAACTCTAGACCAGCAAAACTTTTAGATTTTGCAAATGGGTGGGGCAAAACGGGACAGTTAAAAAGCAGCAGTTACTTGTCAATTGTAAAGCTTTAAAAATGATGAAAAATAAAGGCTACCTATTGCCTAAATATTTTCAGATATTAAAAACTCAAAAAAAGTACCATACCCATAGAAACTACATGCCCATACACCCATATGCCATAAAAAAGAAATAACAGCTAAAATAAACTTTTTTTGTGTGTGTTTTATTATAAAATACCTCCACTCTACTCTAACCTATTTATTATTAAATTGGTAATTGCTACTAAATATGAAATTAAAAAAAAAAATTATATGGATCACATAAATCATACAAAAAATATACTGAAACTATTCGGCAACATTTTTGATGAGCTGGCTTATTAGCAATATGCCTATGTAGAGCAAACTTAAATATGCCTTATGTATTAGCAGCTTTTCTAATTTTTAGTTCCTTTTTACTCGCAGCTAAAACAGCATTATACCTCGTTTTAGATGATTGATCTTTCTTATAAAACTTCTCACCTTTCTTTGTTTACATTTACTCTATTAACAATCGAAGTTGAATTATAAAAATAAAAATTTCTTTGAATTTATTTTGCCCAGGCTAATCAATTCCCCAGGCTAATCAATTCAAGACAATACTTAATCAACAGCATCCAAAAATACAATATACAATCGAATTTGAAAATGACAAAAAAACACTAAATTTTCTAGACTTATGCATAATAAATAACAAAAATTGCAAATACGAATTTAAAATACACAGAAAAAATGCAATTACTAACATTCAAGTTAAGGCAACATCAAACCATGACCCACAAATTTTAAATGGAATATTCAAGGGTTTTGTACATAGAGCATTTAATGTATGCAGTCAGAAACATATAGAAAATGAACTGAAATTCCTTATTCAAGTATTTGTCGAAAATGGTTACAAATATTCCAATCTCATAAAAATCATAAAAGAAATAAAACGAAAGTACAAAAAACCTCTAGTGACTACTAAAAACATTGACAACATCACCAGTACGTATCCAACAATTTCATTACCTTGGGTACCAATATTGTCTCCCAAATTGCGTAAAGTGTTTAGGAAGGCAGGATATAAAACGGTCTTCAAATCAAACTTAAACCTAGAAGCAATATTGACTTCAAGAAATAAATCCAAACTACAAAGGAACAGCTACCCAGGAGTTTACCTTATTAAGTGCCATTGTAACAAAAAGTATATTGGTGAAACAAAAATGCAAATAAAAACACGCATGCAACAACACAAAAACAGTACAATAGGAACAAAAACAGAAAGATCAGCATTAGCCACACACATGAAACATTGTACACAACAAATTAACTGGGACAGTTGCAGAACTCTAAAAGTCAATAACAAAAAGTTTGATAGGAAAGTTCGTGAGGCGCTTGAAATACAGTACCACCAATGTGCCCCTCAACAAAGTGGTATCAATTTAGATGAGGGACAATATGTATCAGCAAAATTCTGGACACCATTTCTAATGCACTTACGTCAGAAAAAAACGAAACCATTCCATTGACATATAATAAAATTGCTGTTTAAAAATAACATATAAACAAAAACAAACAAAATCTTTTAAGCTGAAGATGCTGGTCTCAACAATCCAGCGAAAATTTCTTTTAAAAAAAAAAAAATAAATTTAGTATTGAGAGAAAATCGTATTTATTGATGTTTATAAAATAATTATATATACATATATATATATATATATATATATATATATATATATATATATATATATATATATATATATATATATATATATATACATATATATATATATATATACATATATATATATATATATATATATATATATATATATATATATATATATATATATATATACATATATATATATATACATACATATATATATATATATATATATATATATATATATATATATATATATATATATATATATATATATATATATATATATATAAAAGGGTAGTTATATTAATTATGTTTTATTTATATGTCTAGACATTAATAATTTGGTGTTATGGGTAATCTTTTTCTGAATGCATTGCAAGAATAATAAACAACCAAAAAATACAGCTAAAATATTAAAGTTTTACAAAGAATACTCTTAAGCAAATGAGCAAAGATCTCGATTTTTAACAAATGCACAAAGACCTTGATTTATAACTTAATCTTATTATAAGTACTATTAATCTTTTCATCTTTTTTTATTATTTTATTAAATAATAAAAAGACAGTGGCAATAAAATTTTTATAAGTTTTAAAAACAAAGTAAAATCAAAGACGGCTTATTAACAATAAAAATGCTATAAAATGATACATCACATTATCATATATATAAGAACGAACTAACTTTAAAACCTTTCCAGAACTGCCTTTCAAGGAATGCGAACGCTCTTGAGTTGTTTGCTTCAAGTAAACTTAAACAAAAAACAAAGCATTAACAGATTTGAAGATTTAATAATTTAAAGATTTCTCATTAATTTATTTAAAATATTTATCTTATTAAGAGTTGGAAACACATACCTGCGAGGATAAAGTGGTATGTATAACTCTGTCTCTACAACACTCTTTAGTTTTGTGACAATAGCATCTACTAGAAGCTGTAAAAAATTATCAAAAAAATAATTATTATTTAACTTATAATAAACTAGATTATTATCATCCAGTTCAATAATATCATTTTAAAAATAAAAAAAGGTTATGATATGGCGTAAGGGATTGTAAATAGATTAAAATATAATCTTTAATAACGTTGTTAATACCATAATTGTTAAAACCAAACTTATTTTTGATAATTATGGAGATTATCCTGGCATATTTATAACAAACAAATACAAGTAATCAAAAACAAAACACAATAAATCTAATCAAATAAAATTAAATAAGTTTATTAAAATAAATGACAAAGATGATGATGATGTTGATGATCATCATCGCCATCATCGTTATCACCAAAAAGAAATGATTATTTTCTTACATTAAATTACTTAATACAAATTATCATTGAATCTTATACTAAATTACAATTTCTATACTAATGACATATTCCAGCTTTATTATATATTATATTTATAGTATTTTTTTTTTTTTTAATGCAAAACTTTAAAACAAAAAATATTTTATTTTATTTGAACTGTTATGGCCTCAAACAATGTTTTTCCTTCCAATCATAATATTATCATTTGGACAGTAAGGCTCTTTAGTTGTGGCAAAGCAACTTATGTAAAAGAAAGAAAACATTTCAACTGAGATTAAAAGTAGAAGCTTATTAACTTTGGAAGGATCCAAATATTGATACATTACATAACATAAACAAAATACAATGTTTAAACCAGCCCTAGGAACTATGGTAAAAACAAAATATGTTTAAACCAGCCCTAGGAACTGTTTCTATAGGAACTATGGTAAAAACTTGTACATGACTATGTACAAGTTTTTTTATTTACTGTTAAATCTTATCTATTATAAGATTTAGCAGGGGTTGATAGCCAGGGCTAGAAAAAAATTTATAATTTATTATATATTATAATTTTATACTTACATTTACTATCTATTTTTTTTTATACATCTTCACTTCCAACAAGGCTGCAAGCAACCACTAATTAGAGTTAGAAGTTATTGGAAGTTATTTAATAAATACTAGCATATATTTATATATATATTTAAATTCGAATTTACTTCCAAAAAGGTTGCAAGCAACCATTATTAAGTTATGAATTACTTTAAAATAGACGATAGATTAAAAAGCTAGGAAACGGTTAACTGAAGACTTAAAAAGTTGTAGATTGTATAAAAATAGAAAACATGTAGATATATAAGTAAAGTTTTTTCAATGTGATAGGAAAAAAACTAGATTAATAAAAATTTTTATAGCATGAAATGACAGATACAGTAAAAGGATGCAACTTTTTGAATAAGAAGCCATGCGAGAATGAGTTTTGGTTTATTTTAATAGAGATCATAGTTTGTTTGATCATTGACCATGATTAGAGAAATGATTAGATGATTAGAGATGATTAGACCATGATTGACCATGAGAAGAGAAATGGCATAAAAGAGGAAGGTTTAAGCTTGATAATGATGATGATGATGAAGATGATGATAATGATGATGATTATGATCATGTTGATCATAATGATGTTTATATATGCATATATATATACAGAATATAACATGAATTTTGAAAAAATATATATACTTTAAGATGTATAAATGTTTATGCAGCCTAAGTCACAAACCAGGCCCCTGCTATATTTTATCAAACCTGGCGCTGGTCTCAACCCCGGTTGCTTATTAGTTGTAACCACAACTAAAAATAGCCTTCTCAACTGTAGTGGCCTTTATGGCCTTTGGGAGATAATTTAAAATTAAAAAAAAAATATTCTGATATATTTCATAAAGAAGCATCTAAAATAAAAATGACCATCATTTTTCAGAAAAAAAACTTCAATAGTTTGTTCTTCATCAAATGAAGTGATGTTGTGCCATTAAAAAAAAAAGTTCAGTTTTTTATGATCTTTTAAACTAACTTTTTAGACATATTTTCATAAACTATGATTACTAATTGTTTAAAACTTTTATAAATTTTTGTTTTATTTGACTGCCAGATTATTACTTTTGAAAATACTTTTCCTGATATTATTAGATACCCATTATAATATTCAAGGGTTAGTTGGGACCCCTGAAAATATATTTTAATCAAATAACTTTTAACTTTGTTTTTAGTGTTCTTTTATTATAAAAACCATCATAGATGTAAAAGGGAAATTTTCAAAAAAAGTAATTTTCTATCCACTTAAATAATAACAATAAATATCTACAGTAAAAACTAATTATCAATTGTTTTTTGTTGATTTAATAAAAAATAATAATACACTATAAAAGTAATAATAGAAAGCAATACTTTCTATTACACAAAGTAACAACAAGTTATCTAACATGAGTTTTTGCGCTTATGTTTCTTATCTTAAAGACACTCATACCTATAGTTGCTATATTTGCTTAAAGTCTTTTTGCTGTTTATTTTAAACTAATCATAGAAATAGTTTAAAAAATTCAAAGTTAATTCTCATTATGTGATAAAAAATAAAATAAAAGGCTTACAGTATTTAGTTGGCTTTATTACAGTATTTTTTAATATATTAATTATCTGCTCATTTTCATATTATTACTATTATCAAGGAATTTGTAAACTATATTATCTTATATTCTTTGATTTTTATTATTGAATTTAATGCCAAAGTTTTTAAATATATATCTATATATATTTTGGTAGTTATTGGAATAAATAAAGCCTGGGAACCAATACCAAACAGGTATTTTTTTATATACATTTATTATTAATTTACAGATTTAGAAGAAAAGTAGTCAAAGTTGATCACAAACTTACAAAATTTATTTAACAGTAATAACTTTGCAATAAAATAAAAAATGATGTAGTAAAAACAAAGTTTTTAAAAAAATAAAAATAAATTTTCTTTTATGCTGACTTTTGCTGGAGCGCTTTTTAAAACTACTTTATCAAGTATTTGTATAAAATGTGCCAACTAAACAATTTAAAATTTAAAAAAGCATTTAATTATCTGAAGGAAAAACTTTGTTATAATTCTAAACTTTCTTATTTTAAATCTATTTATTCTATTATATATTTTTAATATATACTATACATTATAAATCTATTCCTAAATCTAGAAAAAAATAATAAACTTTTATATTGCTTTAATTTGTATTTGCAATAAGTAGTCTAAATTTTTGTTACTGACTCCAACTCTGCAATAAGTAGTCTAAATTTTTGTTACTGACTCCAACTCTGCAATAAGTTCAAAAGGTGAAGATTTTTCTTTCTTTGTTGACAAATTCCTTTTTTTTTGAATATAATTGTTACAAATATCATACGCCAAACCTAGAGAAATTAACACCATTACACCTATAGCTGAACCTATAAATGCTCTAGAGGATAATAATTCATCTAATTTATACAACTCCAGATTTTTAGTGGGTGGATTCTTATTGTACATTTTAATGCTTTGGTCTATGAACCTCTTGGCATAGTTATTAAAGCATTCAGAGTAATTGTTTTTTTTCTCATCAAAATTAGTTGGCGAGTACAAATATACAAAAATGTTAGCAGGCAGTAAAGTTGTTACAATTAGATTTTTATCAATGATGTCATCATAGTACCACGCAGCAATATCAGGGTTAATCAAACATGCATCGCTCAGCCCATATTGTACTGACTCAAAAACATCTTGATAATTAGGTTTTGGTAAGATATTGCTTGTTTGTATACTTTTTGCAAATTCGTACTCAAAAGAATCTTGAAAAACAGAAATTTTTTTGTCAAGCAGAACATAGCTGCCTGTCACGGTTTCAACAACCAAAGAAGTCAGTATAGAGTAAAACACCATTCCAACAAACAACCAGAGTACAGCTATAAAACGACCAAATAATGTGTTAGGAACTACATCACCATAACCTATTGTCGTGAGAGTAATGAAAGCCCACCATAAACCAGAAACAAAACTAAGATTTCCATCAGGATTTCTCAACTGTTCCACTATACTTAAACTCAAACCAAAGATAATACATAACAAGCCAACAATAAGCAAAACCAGCAAAGATCGATTACATGCCACCATTAATTTATAATGCAGCTGTAAAGATTGCTTTTGAACAACAACAGCAATTTGAGTAAGAACTTTTATTGAATAAACATTAGTAGCATTGTTGCTGTAATCCAAATAATATGGTGAAATGAATGGACCCCAGATTGTGTTTTTTTCAATATACACATCATTGACAAACTTTTTTGAAAACGAATTCCAATCATTTAGTGGGGGGTTATACTTAATCAAAACCTCATTTTTTTGCAAACAGTATGATTCAAAAGCAGAATACATATTTGGAATTATACCAACAGTTGTATTAGCTGTTTTGTTGTCTATATATATATAAGGTTTAAGCTCCCAGTATGTCAAACTATACATTGGTGCTTGTTCACAATGAAATCTTCTCATAACTCCAAGCAGCATGTTTACAAAAACCATATTAAAAATCATTACACTGACAATTTTTGTTATTAAAATAAAAAAGAAATCAAGCTAAATAAATAAATACAAGTTAAAGTAAGTAAAATAACTTTTTTTTTTCAACTTTTAGTATTTATTGCAATAACTTATAACAATTAATATAACAAATGTTTAAATGTATTTATAAATAATATTAAAAATTACATATATTTAGAGAACTTATTTACTATAAATTTCTATTACGCACTAATATCAACAAAATTTAAAGGGAGAGAAATAAAATAATGAAAGATTATATATAGAAATATAAAACCAATAGGATTGAAAAATTTAGAAAATGGACTCGTTAAAATATAGAAATTAAGCCAGAAATAAGACTTTGTTTTAATAGTTTTAATATTCTTAGCCAATTATTTTGTATTCATTTTGTGACTAATCTTTTTTTTATAATACAAACCAATTAAATATTATTTAAAAATAAAAACATGCAAACAAAAATAAAAACTAAGAAAAATGAAATTTTCAAAAACTCAATGAAGCCAAAGAAATTCTGTAAATAAGATCAAACTGCAGACAGTTTTTTCTGAGAGTTTTTACATAAGTTACATAAGAATTAATTAATAATAACTACTAGAAAGTAATCCAACTAAATTATGCATAATTATCCAACTAAATTATGCATAAATTTTTTTAAACATATAATGGACATGGTAACACCTCAGTTAGAACAAAAGTTAAATATTTAAACTTGGAAAAAAAAAATTTTTTTATAAGGTCATGAAGAAATGCATGATAAGATAAAACAATTAAGTGAATATTCATGTTACCTAATACCACTAAAAGTTTTCAAGAGCCAATCTTATTGATAAATTTTACTTAAGAGACAGTTCATAATAAAAATGTTTAATATCTACTTAAGATTTAAAAACTAAATAAAAGGTTTATACATAACAGATAAGAATTTCTAATATATAAAACTTTTTGACTGAAAAGGTTTATACATAACAGATAAGATTTTCTAATATATAAAACTTTTTGACTGAAAAGGTTCATGTGTGAAGTTTTTTTTTAATTTGAAAAAAACAGTATAATTAAGGTGGTTCAAAGTTTTTTTTTAATTTGCTATTGCTAGTTTAAAATAATTTGTTTTATAAAAAAAAAAAATTTCTTTACATTGTTAATACTCATATAATTATACTAATATAGATAAACATTCAAAAAAAAAAAAATAATAATAATAATAATAATAATAAAAAGAAACATAAAAGAGTAATAAATCAAATTCCTTTGGAATATTGAAAATTGTAACAATCTATAAAAACAAAAAAAATGTTAGCACATAACTTTTTTTTAATAATTTAACAGTCTACATTTTTCAAATAAATTTTTAAAAAGTTATTGACATGTAACTGAATAAACAGCGTTTATAACTTTTAATAATTCAATAATAAAAATTCAACAATTAAATATAACAATTAAATAAAGAATAAATAGGTATTAAACTGAGTTAAATCTTTTTACTCTTGTCAAAATTGATCAAAAAAATATATATATATATATATATACTTTATATTTTATTAGTAACTCAAATAATAAACAAAAAATATAGAAATATTTTTAATAAATAAACATATAAATCATAAATTTTAAATTTATTTAAAACAAAAAAGTAAACAAAATATAATATTTTAACAAGACAAAAAAACTTGACAAATTATAATTATTAATTAAAAAGAGAAGTCTCTATTATACTCTCATCAAGAAAAGGTGTTTGAGCACTACTTTGTTTGCTCATACCACCACGCACCCATAATTCAAATATTAAGCCAAAGCTTATAAAAACAAATAATAAACCAACTATAATTTGATATAATATATTTTTCTGAAACATATCTGAAATTGAGTCAACATATAATGTCTCAGTGTGACAAGTTCTTCGAAAATGGCTAATAGATGAGGAATAAACTTGTTCATCCTTTTCAAACATACAATTAAATACTTTTTTAGCTGCAGCAGATAAGTTCATGGAAATATGAGCATTTATGTATAAAGATGCAGGCAATGTATTTATAACACGCAATGGAATATCTTGACTATCATTCTCAATGTCTTTTTGAAGCCATGCAGCAACATCATCATTAATTAGAGCAGCAAACACTTGACCGTTTCGAACCATTTTTAATGCAGCTTCATATGACTCAGCAGGCACTACCACAGCACCATAAACATCTCTAGCCACTTTTAATTCATAGGAACTTTCAAGAACAGCAACTGTTTTTTCATATATATTTAAATCATTAACCCCTTCAATGACTTCAGTGACTGTTGCAGTTACAAGACAAGCAATAATAACACCTAAAAACAACCATATTGATGCAATTATTTTTCCAGGTATTGATATAGGCACAACATCACCATACCCAACAGTAGTCATAGAGACTAAGCTCCACCAAAAACCAGTGCCTACCCCTTTCACAAAAAATTTTGAAAACTGTTGATTACATGAAAATTCTGCAATCCATATGAGAACTCCAAATATTATTGCTAACAACAAAACAAGAAGTAGAATTTGTCGACAACTCATAATCCCAAGCAGCATTTTATTTGGTAAAGAAATAACATAACGAGGCACAATGACTGCAATTTTTTCAGATTTAATAATTACAAAAGAACGCTGACCCCTAAAAGATCCATATTCTTTTCTTTCTAATTCTTTATCATCTACATAAGAGTCATCCGGAAACCATACAGACTTATGTTGAGTGATACCTGCAAGTTCAAACTCTCCATATTTTTTTTTAGAATACAAAATACTTAGGAATTCTTTCCTCGAGGATAAAAGTTTTGTAAAGTTCATTATGTTAATACTTTCATTGCCACAATGAATTTGAGCCTCACTAAATATTCTTGGAATCATGCCGTCTATTTTCCCATCATTATTTCTAAATATGAATGGTTTGAGCTCCCAAAATACACTATCAAGTAAACTTTCTGAACATGAAGAAGTTACAAAAACGAATAAAAGCGATTTTTGAACTATGAAAACATTAAATAACATTATGTGCACTTTATAGACTTTTTAAAACATTATGTGTACTTAAAAAACAATATGTGTACTTAACACATTTTACAACTTTTAAAAATTTTATAAAAAATAATTTTAATAATGAATCACAATAATAAAAAAGAAGAAATCACAATATTGACTAAAACAATTATTATTTAAAAAAATTTTCTTTCCTATACATTAAAAATAAAAAGTATTATATTATTACTATTATATAATAACAATAATAATATAATACTTTAATTTGTTATATTTATTTGCTTATTAAAAACAAATTATTTTTGTAAAATGAAACTTTTTAATACAATGTCTAACATTTGAATTTTTTTATGAATAATCCAAATCTAAACAGTTAACGATAAAATATTAATTAACAGTTGTATAACTGTACATAACTCCTTATTTATTAATCAGTCTGATTTTATTTTGTATAAAAAATAAGTAATATAGTAAACATTCAGTATAATATAAAAATATCTCATCTCATTTTATTTTATTTTTTAAATTCTTAATATTTATATATTTTATTTTAACTTTTTTTTTAATTCCAAATCTTCATTATTAACCACAAAATAACATGATTAAAAATATAATTGAAAATAAAATTAATATAAATTATTAATTCATAAATAAAATTTATTTCTCATATATAAGTTTTTTTTGAATAAAATTTACTAATCATATACAAGTTGTTTTTTTTAATCTTAAATTCATTGCAAAAATATTTATTGAGCTACAGAATACAATTAGAAACAATCAACACCAACCTTGGTTGTCTTACTTTCTTTTGTTATGGTTGGAAAATCATGAACAAGTCTTTGAAATAAACATGTAGAAAGCTTTGTTTGCTTGCTCGAAAGTGGGTCCCAAACGTCACGCATCATCACTATAAAATTAATTTATCATTATTATAAAATATTAGCTTTATTATACTAGAGGCATAATTAAAGCATTAATACAACTTAAAATATTAATATTAATGCTTTAATTAGAGCATTAATAAAACCTCCTAAATATAATACAAGGCTATGATTGAATTGACCTGTTAATGTTGACATATTAAAACTTAAATAAAATTTTGAGTTTGATGCATTGATTTTAATGATAATAGTTAATTTGATGGTTAATTAAAATACAAACACACACACACAATTAATGGTTGCCCGCCTGAAACCAAACTGAACTCAGTTAATACATGCCACAGATAACAATTATCATTTTTATCTATATATGTAATATAAATATTTTTTATTTTTATTTTGTTTTATTTTTATTTTTTATAGGTGTAGTATTTTATAAATACATGTTATGAAAAATTAATTAAAAAATTCAAACACACTTTATCTGCACATACTCACTAATGTATAATAAAAGAGAAATCATCAAGTCTTAAAAATTGCTTAAACATTTATCAGTATTAGAATAATTCAAAAAATTACATAAAAAAAAACAATACAAAAAAAATATATATACTAATTAACAACTTATTAATGTTCATTCTTGAGTATTTAACAGCTAGTATTTAACTCACGACAGCTATTACACTTGAGTTAATGGCAAAAAAGAGTTGCAACACTTTATTATAAGAAAATGTAAACAAAAGTGTATGCAAATATCTAACTTATGTAAACTTTAATTTATGTAATTATATAACTTATGTAAACTTTAATTTATGTCATTATATAACTTATGTAAACTTTAATTTATGTAATGTTAAAAATTATATCAAGCTTTACAGTTTTACTTTTACATGAAACTTGTATTGTGGCAATATCTCCTTAATTTTGATTTATAGCATTTATTTGCCAATTTTATAAAGTTATACCATCTTTATTTAATAAATAGTGTTAAAAATTAATAGATTAGTATTCCTTAGAGACAGATGTGGTTAGCATGCTGCAGGGTTGGAAAAAAACCCACCTTTAAAAAACCCAATAAAACCCAAAAGTATTTGGGTTTTTTTTAAATGTCCTATTTTACAACTGATAAGTCATTTTAGCTTCTATAAATCCTATAGTATTAAAAAATTGCATCTTTTTATACTGTAAATACACTTGCATATACTGAACTTATATACAACATAGTATTTACAATGAAAATAATTTTTTTTATTATATTTATAATTTTTATATATTTATAATTTTTAGTTAGATAGCTAAGTTATTGGGGAGTTAGGTAACTTATCAAGCCATATCTCAAGAAAAATGTATCAAAACACCATAAAGACATTAAGTCCAGGTACATATTGTTCTAATAAAACCACAATTTAAGTTACAGCTGTATCTAATTATTTGCTTATTTAAAGATGACATTTTTTTTTAATCAAAAACTTAAGTTTTTTTTGTGCTTGTTTTAGGAACTATCATCCAAAATTAAAAAAGAAAGGAAAATAACAGATTTTATAAAACAAGTTGCACTCAAGAAGAAACAGCTGTAAAAAAATGTAAAAAAAAAAAAAAAGCTAAAAAACTATGGATTTACCATAAGAAAGGCTGCTAAAACATATAACATTCCATTAAAAGCACTATAAAAAAAAAGTAAAAACATGGGACTAAGTTCCAAAAAAGCATTTGACAAACCAGACTTGATAGTTCAAAAGAAAGTTTATTTGTTCAAACAACTACTTTTATGACTCTAGAGGAACAACACAGAGGAACAACACAGAGGAACAACACAAAGGTAATAAAACATCTTTCAGGAAAAAATGAAAAAGACCCTGGTGGTGAAGTACCATTACAGTGATACATTACCACTGTAAATGGTTTTTAACCAATCCCTTTTAGATATTCTTAAAAACTATATAGGCTTAGACACAAATCCATTTGCAAAACGCAAAATCTATCCATAATCTAAAAAATAAAAACATTATGTATTGTTAATAGTCATCCTAAAGTGGCTATTCATTCACACCCTGTTTTAAAAATGCACATCCACACCCTGTTTAAAATATTCATTCATACCCTGTTTTAAAAATGCAAATATGCACATATAAAATCAAAAAACAAAGGTATTTACTGCATATTGGTGATGGAATTTTCCATCACCACTATGCCTAGGCCTAGAAATAGGCCTAGGAATTTTCCAGGAAGATGGATAGTTTAATGTTCTGTTAAAAAAAAAAGTTGCAATTAGACTAACAGTTTTCTTCTATAATGCAAAAATGTTTAAAAAGCATTCATAGTGTTCAAACTTGTAGATTACATTTTATAAACTTGGGCAAATAGTTTTGAATTAACATGTTGAACATGTTAGTTAAAGATTACTAAAACACTTGCAAATAAAGTATATTTTAAAAAATTATTAGCTTCCTTGACTGCAGTGGACACAGGAATGATGGGGAGGTGAACTTATAAGTTGAAATAAAATTACAGTACAGATACAATAATAAAAATTTGGAATTATGATCACCTTTAAAAAAATTCCAAAAAACCTCAATAAAATCCAAAAAATCCCATTTGGATTGGGTTTTTTTTTAAAAAAAACCTGGATTTTTTCCAACCCTGGCTCGCTGAGCTTTTGATTTGCATCAAGCAGATTTAAATTCTTTTGATAGCACATTTAGTTATTGTTGTTTTTATAATTTTTTCCAATTGTACAAAATATATTATGCCAAAAATACAAAATAAAACATTTTTAAAGTCCTATAGATATTATATACAAAAGATACAAAAAGATATTATATACTATAGCAAACAAAAGGTTTAACTTTTTTCACATATGTCACGATAGAGATACATATGATATTAATGGGGCTATAGTCCTAATAAGCTGCACACTGTCTGAAAAAAATTAAATGAAAACTTGATAGAAACTATTCCGGTTTTTTTTATACAAGTTTAAAATTTTACAATAAGAAATAACAGTATTAAACATTAATCATGAACTCGAGAGATAACAAAGTATTGAACATCATGAACTCGAAAACAAACATTTGAAGATTTTTTAAATTCTACCATATACTAAAAATTATTAAAACAAAATGAAATTCTATCTTATTTTAATATTAATTTTTTTTAAATTTAATTTTACATATAGTTCATTATGAAACATAAACTAGAGTGAGTTATAATAAATTAATTTTTAAAATGAGCGTTGGTGTAAAACATTTTCCTGCATATTTTCTGTATAATGAAACATAAATTTAGACATATTTGGGTCCTGGAAAAATGGGTAGTTTTTCATAAAAGTCATATAATTAGATGAACTTATGTAAATAAAAAAAAACATGGTTGAAACTTACTTACTTATAAATAGATATGTATATATACTTTTTAAATTATTAGGGTGCTTAATAACAAATTTAAATATTATTAGGTTCAAGAAAACCTAAGTTTTATCACAGAGCACAGAATATGAGCATTAAAGTAAAAAGTCCTCGCCTCCTTCCTTACCAATCTCATTTATCTTGCTGGAGCTGACATTGAATCTTAGACCTTTTGGTTCTAAGGCAGAACTATAATAACTCTTACAACTGCAGCATAGCAACTGCGTTATGGCAACATATATTAGTATTAGCAACTTTAGTTACATATAAAATACTTTTTAATCATCTTTGTATAAAACATATCTTTTGTTACCAGCAACAATATTAAATGCTGAAAAAATGAGATAACTATAATAACTTTAAGACTGCATTTTCATTTTACAGTTTTACTTGACTTTTGAAAATAAGAGTTTGTGTTTTGCTGCATAACAACATTATCTGGTAGTGAATTCCATGTAGAAGCAACTCTTGTTAAAGAAGTGATATTCTTGTCATCTTTGTATCTTTGTCAAGTAAGTAAGTATATTTTGTCTTTTCAACAGCATTGAAAAGACAAAATATACTTACTGGGCAAATTCCACTATAAACTACTTGAATTTATATTATATATATATATATATATATATATATATATATATATATATATATATATATATATATATATATATATATATATATATATATATATATATATATATATATATATATATATATATATATATATATATATATATATATTGGTTGATGTTTTAAAGCAAATAGTAAGCTCTCATTACTAAATATTACATTTATGTACTTAAAAACACTGTATTGTAAATATAATAGTCCAAATTAAGAGCTTTACATTTGAGCATGGTGTCCATATTACAAAAAAGATATTGTTGAACTAGAAAAGAGCAACCAAAATGATACCGGAACTAAGATATCTTGAGTACAAAAAATATTAGAAATTTTGGATTTGACAACTTTGGAAACTATACAGCTAAAAGGCAGCCTGATTCAGTAATTCAAGATATTTGAGAAACTTAATTAGATGTATTATTAACTCTTTATTATATAGAAACTGAAGTAACTTAATAATTAACTAATATTTACGAGTTGTCATAGATATTTCCTGGTGTTCTTATCAGCATTATTATACATTATATAAAAGTTGTTTTTATTTTTTAAATAGTACTAGAATTTCAATTTAAAACAAAGGTAATGCCATTATGACTGGTTACCAAAAATGATTTAAAACAATTTAAAAAAAAGGTAATGCCATTATGACTGGTTACCAAAAATGACTGGTTACCAAAAAAAATTTTAATCTTATATATTAAGTTATGATGTGTTTTGAATTTTTTAATTAGTTGTAAAACATTTGAATAAAACAAAGATAAGATATTAAAAAGGTTTTATGAGTTAATCTAGTTTTTATTTCACTTTATACTACCCATACTATTTTATTTACTTATACTAACCATACTGATTCCTAATCTTTTTTTTCATTATAATAAATTTTTGTTCTCTAAATATATCATCTAATTAAATTTGTTTTTTAAATAAATTTTTTCTCTTAATATGTTTATAAACAATTTTTTCTTTTAATTACAGAAAATCACACAAAATACTCATAAAAATACTCAGTGTCAATCTAATAAAGTGTATAGAATATATAGATAGTGCATATAGATAGTACAAATAACTCCATGACATACTCAATGCACTACATCACACTAATGTAATGCATCACTACATGTATTACATCATTACATCACACAACATGCACTACATCACGCATGACACATTAAATGCAATGCATCACACATATACGCAATACATGAATTTTTAAAACAGAAATGTCACTAAATGCAATGCACTAAGCACCGGCGTTACCGCAATGCGATTATGCTGTAAATATTGATAGTGATTTTTAGAAAAGGAATTGCAGGAGATTATTTATGATTTCAGTATTTAATTAGATAATCGCAAAATGATTTTTTTCAATTACAATTAGCTACTAACTAATCGAAATGCGACTTTTTTTAATTTATGAGCACAAAAATCGCAGCAATTACAATTAAATCAATTTTATCAAAAAATTGCTATTTGTCGCTATTCAATTAATTGGAGATTTTTTGTGAAGCGTTGAAAGATTAGGTTCACCATTTTGAATTTTTATAATTAATTAGAGATAAACTTAACAAATATATTTTAACCAAGTTTCTTGGCGTATCCTTCTTTCATATCCTTTAAAACTAATAAAAATTTAAGGATTGTGTATTGTTTTTTGTTTTTTTTTTTAATTATTCACCTCCCCAAGGCCCGAGGGGGTCACTACAGTCGAGGAGGCTACTCATTTTTTTTTTTTTTTTTCCTGTTGTAAATCGTGGTACAACCCTCTCTCAACTCTTTAACTCCGAAACACGAACCTTGCCAAGCAAGACCGCTGCGCGGAGAAATTAAGTTGAGCGTGGTACTTCCTGGAACGTGGTGGGAGTCGAACTCCGAACCGCTCGCTTACAAAGCGAGCGCTCTTACCACTACACCACTACCACATATTTACCAAATTCAATTTAATTATTTTTTAATTTGGTTTTACCAAATTCAATTTAATTATTGCAAATAGGAATAACTCTTCCCATTAACTATCAATTATCTGAATTACAGCAGACTAATTCCTATTACAAAAACTATTTGCCATAAATCCAACAAAGTGCAAAAAACCGCAAAAATAGCAGAATTTTTTTTTTTTAAATCGCTGATGCAATAAATTACAAAGCGATTTTTATAGAGCAAATCACCGGGCAATATATTGCATGTCCATTTTTATCTAAAAAATCGCATGCAATTCAATGAGATTTTTTATTGCATAATGGAAAAAAATCGCTTTTGTACAAACCGCCAATGCGGTAATGCCAGTGCTTACAATGCACACCTAAAAAAATATACAAAACATGTCACACTCATATATATCAATAATCCAAACCACTGATTCAAAGCTGATTCTGACAATATGTGAACTCAAACTTACCTGTCAGTTTTGGAATTATACTTTTTTCAATAATATTTGGAACTAATTTTATATCATCATCATCAATATCTATATCATCAGGTACATGCCCATATACAATAAGAGTTTTAAACCAGTTCATTGATTCCAAGTCAATATTGGTTTGTACCTAGAAAAATATTATTACTGCATTATCAAGAAAGAAAAATTGGTTAACAATTTCACAAGAACGTTAATAAAGATAGGTTATACAAAGATTTCAACTAAGTGTTTATATTATTAAAATCATGCAAATGTTAATATCATTTAACATTTAGCAGTAACTAAACACAGTTACCTATACTTATTATTAATATTATATTCAAAGTATTCTAAATTTTTTGAAAAGAAAAGCCATTCACAACAAAAAAGTATTAATTTTAAGCCATTTACAACTAGTAAGTAACCAAGACCCACGCTAAAAATGAGACTTTTTTCAAACCGGACCCTGACCCTGGCTAAACTATAAGATTAAGCAGAGGTTGATAGCTGAGGCTAGAAAAAAATTTATAATACTTTACATATTATAATTTTATGCTTACATTTACTATTCAATAAATACTGGCACATATTTATATATTTTCAAACTCTAATTTATTTCCAACAAAATTGCAAGCAACCACAATTTAGTTATGAGTTACTTTAAATTAGAGAATAAGTAAAAATACTAGGAAATGGTTAACTGAAGACTTGAAAAGTTGTAGGTTGTATATGAAAGAAAAACATAAAGATGGCTAAGTCATAAGGTTTTTTTGATGTGCAAGGAAAAAAACTGGATTAATAAAAGTTTTTATAGCATAAAAGGACAGATACAGTAAAAGGATGAAACTTGTTGAATAAGAAACAAGCAAGAATGAGTTATGTAACCCTCAGAATTAGGAAAAATGAGATTGGCAATAATTTGCCAATCTCATTTTTGAGATCTGAAACGCGAAACTTTATACCAAGGCCACTGCACAGAGAAGCAAGTTGAGTGCGGTACTACCAGGAATGCGGTGGGGATCGAACTCAGTTCATCTCGCTTATGATGCAAGAGCTCTACCACTATACCATGACCGCATTACATTTACAATGTGCTTTTAGACTTTATCTGAAAGTAAGAGGGTTATTCATCAATATAGGAATACCAACATTATTGCAATATTTTTTTGCAGTAAATAAATGAATTTTGTTGTCTAACAAAAATTGCAGATTTCAAGTCCAGAATTTAAATCCATAAGCCACAGCATTTAAGCACAGAATTTAAATCCATAAGTCACAGCATTCAAGTCCAGAATTTAAATCCAT